TTAAAAGTAGGTGATGATGTTCTCACAGAAAGTGATTCAAAGATAATTCTCTGATCTCTTTTAAAAATTGCCAAAATATATCAGGGAAAAGATGACAATATGCATGTTGTGCATTTAAAGATTTCAAGGGGTAAGATTACATGGACAGCCAAAAAAATTTATCCTTTGGAAATTAGCCTCTATTGTACAGATACAAGGTCTAGTGAAACTTTAAGTGTACAGCATACTCAAGTTAATTTAAGAAGAGTCTGCCATCACAATAAAACCACTAGAAGTGGCAGAGCTTTTATACTAACAACAAAATTTAGAAATACTTAAGACTAGTTAAAAGTACCTTATTTTGGACAACAATTGGCTGAGAATTTATATTTATGTACTTCAGAATTATCTAATAAATTTTAATTTTAAAAATTAACTTAACTTTTAATTTAATTATTTGTTTGCTTTAATAAACACTTTTTCAGTGTAAAGTTTCTTATTTTTTTTTTTTTTTTTTTTGGTGTGTGTGTTAATACTCTCTTTAATTTTATAGACAGACATAATTTCTTGTTCAGTTATGAAGTTCTGCTGTTAAAGTCCTGTAACTGCCACGTCAAAATTCCCACTAAATTGTCAAATGAAATTTTTTCATTCTCAGCAGCCCTTCTATTACTTTCTTTACTATCAGTAATGAGAGTTTTTGGATTTAGAACCATATTATAGATTTTATCATCCGTTAGTTGATTGATTATTTAAGGCATTGTCATGGCAGAAGGCTGCTATCATGAAACTTAGCTAGCATCACCCTATTTCTGATGTATTTCTGAAACTGACAACTAAAAACATATTCCACTAAATTTTGTTTTGCTTCTATTGCTTACCAAGGAAGTTCAACCTCAATTTGGTTAGTTTAGTTATTGTACATATCTCTATTTCCTACACATGCTTAAGGCTGAGTCTCAAATATATACATTCTCACATAAACTTAAGGTTTATCCAAGGCCGGCATTATGCATTTTGCCACTCGCTACAATCTCTGTGGGTCCTAAATTCTCCTGCCAGGTGCCTCCCTAAAACTATATAAAAATGTTGCCACCCATAAATTTTACATCCCAGTGCTTTCCTTATATTCTATAGATCTTGCCATTCCTTAATTTTGTTCTCTCTAAATCCTAAAAATTTTGCTGTCCAGTGTAGCATAACAGCTCTGATGCTAGCCCTGGGCTTATCTGAATAATAAATTAGTTATTCTTTATTCAAACAGCACTAAATGTAATCTTTCAGCCTATAAGTATCATTTTCAAAAAAAAAAAAAAAAAAAAAAAAAAAAAAAAAAAAAATTCATGTAGAAAAGAAATTTAATAAAAATTTCTGCTCGTCAACACATTCAGTTTTCAGTGCAGTTGGAGTTAAGTCTGCAATTATTGTTGAGCATAATGTCAACATCAGAAGTTATCAAACTGTGTGTATTCAGTTACTAATATTAATTGCTACAGACATCACAGAATTGTACTGATGAATAATGGAACTGTACCAATTTATGCTAACAAATAACTGAGTTTTATATACAGCCAAAGCGAAATTAAGAATTGGGATTATTACTAGAAAAAGAATCAAATGTACAAGCAGGAAACATCATATATACAAAAAAATTCTTTAAAAAATTGCTACTGGTCGGGATTTTAGATCATTCCAAATATTGGATATCCGGATTTTTAACATTTTACTGTAATACACTTAATATAAAATAATTTAAAAATTTTTTTTTCCCACTTAATTTAGGATTTAAATATTAGAATGTTTATTTGTTGATATTACATTATTAGATTATAGTTTGCTTGTTAGTAATACTGATGTTAATTACAATTTACATCTGCATATTACAGAAAAAATTATGTAGAATAAAAGAAAGAATTGAGGTAGAACAACAATTAACATAAAACTAATGAAATTCATGTCGTCTACTATTTTTTATACCTAAATTTGGAAAAATTCATAAAAACCATTAGAAAATTTTAAAATTAATTATACGAATCATCTACACAATTTACTTTAAAAATTCTGAGATTAGTAGTTTCATTTCAAAACTCTGAATTCTAGGCAAGTATAGAAAAAATTATTTTGTTTTAATTTTTTGTAACATATGGCCTTCTGGCTAAATTTTAAAAAGTGAAAATTTTGGGATATTTCACTCTCTAATTTTTCATTAAAAATCTCAATCCACTTCTTGAAGATGTTATCTCCAAAAGACTATTAACCCTCTCACTGCATACTTTTTTAATCAAAATAGGTTAAAAAATTGGGTATTTTTATTACATATTTAAAATCTACATATATTTTAGAGTTAAAATATACAAAAAATTTTTGTAAAAGAGTTTTTTTTCCAATATAGAATTAGATCATAGAAAAAAGGTTTGTTAGAATACTGCAATTGAAGAATAATGATATAATGGAAAATTTTGAAAATTATATTGGTTAAATTATGATTTATTTTATAAAAAATACAAAGGTAAAACATATATACTAATGAAATATATTGCATAATGTAATATTTTTGCATATCAATTTTGCACCACTCTCGAACGTTTTCAATAGAAACTGAATTTTCAGATTCATCACTGATCTGCAGCGGAATCCGAGAAATTCTCATCAGTTTCGCTATAACTATGTTCAATATACGAGTACTTGAATCAGCGTCAGACTTACTATCCGTGTGGGAAATATCGTCAGGAAGATAGGTTATATCACTCACAAAATGCTTCCTGCCAGACATCTTTGAGCTTTGAAAAGCACGTGCAAAATGCTACATTATGTATTCTTGTATATTTGGCAGAAATGTGGACAACTAACGGCATTTGTTAGACCACATCTAAATAAACAATTAAACATCACAGTAAAGCCGAAAGGAAACCTTGAACATGGAAAGAGCGGGTTGCACAGTTAAATAGACGGGAAAATTCATCCCCACGGAAATCACAAGTTGCGCAAATTTTGCTACTTCTACGTTGCCCGTGGAAATCACGGGATGCGCAGCGAGAGGGTTAACTATTATTTTGCACATATAACTCAAGATACTTATGAACACCCAAAAATTGTAACTATTGCAAAATGAAAGATATCACTATCCCTTTATGTATTGCTTAATTTAAATTCCACCTTGTACTGCTGTTTCACTGTAGAGCAAGTATCTCCATGATATGGTGACGCAGTAGTCAAACAATTATTTATGGAAACTTGTCTTCTTTATAGTTCTTTTATCAAAATATTGCCTTATTAATCTTAGATGTTCTTTGCTACCATGGAGAAAAGACTCTCCACTGCACAATAGCTTCCGTAAACAATCGTTTGGCCACTGCACCACCATACATCTCTATGATATGGTGGTACAGTGGTCAAACGATTGTTTACAGAAGCTTGCCTTCTTCTTAGAAGTTCTCTGATCAAAACATTGCCCTACTATTCTTGGATGTTCTTTGCTGCCATGCAGAAAAAACATATAAATTGTCACCCAATCATAGTGCATGTTTGTACTTCACATGCCAAAGAACTGGTAGAAGCTAGTTCCTAAGTTAAACTCACTTTCCCAATCACAATAACACCCTTCCAAGAAAGGGCATAAAGTAATAAGGAAAATGGAATTTTCTTAAAAAATAAAAAGACAGAAAATATATATACAGTCAAAAGTCGTTAATTCGGACACCCATAATTCGGAATGATCTATAATCCGGACCTCAAAACTAAAAACTTTCTGCGCATGCGCCGCGTTGACACATGCGCATAGGCGTTTAAGCGTGCGCGTAAGACCTTTTATGACTGCACATATGAGTGTGCGCAAGTGCAGAATACGTTTTCGCGTGCGCGTTTTATGTATAATGGACGTATAAGCTAAAATTATCTAATTATCTATTTCAGTTAATGTTGATGATTGCGTTGTTCCTTAATTTTCGAATTGGATCCGGCTTATTATTTTTTGCAGACTGTAAGAGCAATTTTATAAAAGTAAGCTTAAACTTTCGATTATATCAAATAGAATTTCCGATATATATTTTGTTAATATGTAAAGGATCTAAAGCGAAAGTATGTTTTGAAATTCGAAATCTGTTTATCAATTTCACGCTGCTTGGCGGGGGAAACGCGCCGGCGGGCACGTAATGAATTGGAAGTTGATCTGTCAACACTATCCTTATCTTCAGCGCAGATGTTTTTATTTTATTTGGCTTATAATTGAAGATCAGATGTTTTTATTTTATTTGGCTTATAATTCCTTACCAAATGTAGTATTTCATCTCGATATGCTCCGTCTTTGATATGATTTAAAACAAGTTCCTTGTCATTATAATTCGCTTCCGATAGCGAAGAAAAGTGACAGAGGTTATTGAAAACGAAAAAATTTCGATTGACAAATTAGTCGGTGTTCTTGACACAGCAAATTATAGGGACTTGAACAGCGGAACTTTGTAACTGAACAAGAAATTATGTCTGTTTAATAGAATTAAAGAGAAAGTATTATCACATGAAACGAAGCAAAATTTAAACAACTTACATTGAAAGAAATGTTTAATTTAAGTAAACAAATAAATATTAAGCTTTTTCTTTTTTGCAAATTTTGATACCCTTTAGATCATAACTTGTTCTTTATTTCATAAATTACGGTTTCATATTTTTTAATTTTAGAATTTCTGCATGCCATCTTACGAGATTTAAACTGATGATCTATAATCCGGAAAAATCGATAATCCGGAATCGCCGAAGTCCCGACGAGTCCGGAATAACGACTTTTGACTGTATATATATAAATATACACATCAAGGGCTTTTTAAAGGACTTAAAAACAAAAGTAAAAAAGAAGCATCAAAATTTTATCTTTATCACATTTATATTTAATTTAGCATCTCCTTTACTTTTTACAAAATAAATTCTTTCTCACCCAACCTTTATCATAATTCTACTTATGAAATCCCAACACAAAAGTACAGCACACCACTACAGATATTCAATTAAAATCTTAAAAATAGTCTTACCTTCCAACTCCATAGCTAAATACTTGACCTGAATTCGACAGAATTAAAACATGTTCTTTACCACAAACAACTTCAGCTATTGGTTGAGGCATTGGTAACAATATAGCAGTTACCTTTTGTTCTAGATTAATATTAAAAACTTCTCCACCTAAAATCAGAAACCAGATATAAAGTTAAAAGATAAAAAGAAAAACAGACTATAACATTTAATCTACATAATCATTTAATAACACACTATTTTAAAAACTTGCATCAATGACTTATCGACAAATCAGAAAAATGAACTTAAAAAATCTATTAAAGTATTCTGTACAATGTCATTATACCAGGCATAACTTAAGAGAAAGGATAAAAGCTACTTAATCATTTACACTGGTCATCAAAATTAAAGGATAATGACAGAAATAAAACGTAACTGAATTTAATGAAAAATTATTAATAGAAGTTTGTGTAAAAGCATTAGTTAACATAAATTACAATGTTTGGCAATTGGTTATTGGCAAAATATTGGTATTAAAACCAAATTTATGGAAACTGGAAAGTGATGGAAAAAACAAATTACCCCTTGTGATTTTTTTTTTTCCCAATATGGTGTATGGTCACCTTGGACAGATATGCATACCTCACATCTTCACTTCATAGACCAAGTGTTGATCAAGTTTGTAGAACTGCACGCCACTCTTCTAAAAGTGCATTTTTCAGCTCCTAGAAGGACCAAGGAGGAATCTGGCATACTGAAATTTGGCACTCTAAAGTATCCCAAACTTGCTAAACTGGTATCAAGTCGGGTAAGTAGGGTAGCTGATCCATTTGAATGATATCTTCTGTTTGCAAGTATTCTCACATAGCATATGATCGAGGCTGAGCATTGTCATCCATTATCAAAAACTCTGCGCCAACAGCACACCTAAACAGTCTAACTTGGATTTCCAATACCTTATCCACACATCTCCCAAGTGGGTAAAGAACTTCTTTGAAAGATATGTAGCTCGGTGTGGCCATTTGTCATGATTCCTACCCAAACCATTAAACCACAGAAACAGGATATATCACTGACAAGAGAAGGCAAGTTGCATGTTCTTTCATCTTAACAGATCAAAACATGCCTAGAATCACTGTTCAGACTATATCTGGACTCGTCAGTAAACAATATTCGGGCTTAGTCACCTTGGCTCCAATGAACATGATGATAGCACCAGTTTAAATGGGCCTCTATAAAAACTGGAGTGAGTGAGATACAAACCAAAAGTTTTCTTGAAAACAATCCAATAACAGTAAGCCTTTGTCAGCAGTAGAATAGCTAACTCAAGTCCCTGTGGCAACCTGAAACATATCACTTATAGTCTAAAAACATATCTCTTGTAGTCTCTTCCTGGTTTCTTTGAGCCTCCAACGACAGAAAACAGTCTGATGCAGTTGGTCACCCTTGACCAGGCCATCTATCAACTGATAAAGTGCTTAAGAGCGGCTCTAAACTCTTTCTATAACACTTTGAGGGATATTCAAATCTTGGGTGTCCTCTATTGTGTTTACCACTCTCAATTCTACCAATTATTCGCCACAGTAAACCTTCACTTTAACGCCTTTGAGCCATAACTACTGAATACTGATCACTCTCAGAAACCCCATTCACTTTAAACAACATTACAAACCGGAATTCCAACATGCATCCACTGCGTACCACATTGCCAATCACTGAATTTGCATATTTCCGATACCAACACATGTGCACAAGTGCAATTAGTATTCAATAAACATAAATAATTACACCATTCATCATTGGTTACAACATTTACTTAGTGAGCATATTTTTTCTCATTATCCTTTCATTGAAGACCAGTGTATTTCAATTACATAATAGCTATCTTACTAATGAAATGTTTATTATATAACTGAATACAGAACTTTTAATCATAAAAAGTACAATATAAACCTTACTTTTATACATATATTTTCTATACCAAGCTCTGGAAACATGTTCACTGCTTATACTGTCATGTTATAAGGACACTGTGACATTAATTTTTTTATACTAGTATATTATAGCAAGTACCTTAGTGGAAATTGCCAAAATTTCAGAATACACCAAATTCTCATAACCACTCTCATAGGAATAATCATTCAATAATTCATGTGCAAGACAAATATTTAGTTTCTATCATTGCCGTTTCTGTGTGCATTCTTTTTGTTACATTCTAAGTTCCAATAAAAATATTAAGATTATTTTTTCTCTTTAAAATTCGATTTAAAAATTTGTGCTTCTATGATTTTTCTGGTGACCAGACAAAAGCCCACTGGACGAAAGCGCATGCGAAAAAAGCCCACAAAAAAGACCCCACTGGGATAATTGTCCATGCGACTAATACCCACACCGATGAAAGCACACACTGATAAAAGCCCACATAGATATAAGCGCACGTTGATAAAAGCCCACACTGACAAAACCCACACTGATATGTATGCTATGTTAAAATTAATATTTTTTCCTTTTTTCTTCAGCTTCACAAAGCAGATTCATGAATAGATAAAATAAAAAATTAATTAAATTAATAACAAATAATTGAACAATAAATTTAAGTAGCGGAACACATTTCATTTTGGGCTCCGGCTGAGTTAAAATCCTATATGTATACAGAACAGAGTGTCAATCAAAATAATATAATTAAAAACATATACATGTACATGTAACTTTCTTTTTATATTTATGTGACAAATGGAAGTGCCCTCGTTAAGTACGACAAAGGGAGGGGAAAGGGAATACTGGCCACACTGCTTCTTTTAATTCTACAAAATTATAAGGAGTATAAAATGTATGTAAATTTTCATCATATGCAGAGAATAATTTAACACTGCAGAAAATTTTGCATATAATTAATTTAATATGGAGAATTAAAGCAGAACTTTCATTTCAATGGAAAAAATAAAAGTACCGTATTCTATTTTGATTAAGAAAACATTTGTGTGCACTATCACAAACACTGTTTTAATGGTGAATTAAAAGCATGGTTTCAAATATCCTAGTTAAATTTTGACAACTTGGATTTTACATAAATTAATTTCATTCCACTTTAAATTTCATTTTTAATCATAATAATTATTACTCGTACAATTTTTTAGAAAGCCTTTGCTATTTTGGATTTCCTGAAAATGTGTGCTGTTTTTAAGTGGGCATTCGTCTTGTGGGCTTTTGTCTTGCAGTTTTCTAACTGGCCGCTGGCTAATTCAGGCGGGAAACCATTGCGTTCCTCTTCTTTTGTCCCCAGCTGTGTGAAAAGCAGTTAAAGAGAGGAGAGCCTTGCTTAATTGCTTTATCCCCTATCGAACCTGGAGTGCCAAAGAATGGCCTCAGAAGGGACGGCAGGAGAGCAATTAAAGGGTGGTCAGGAAATAAATTAAAGAGAAGGATTTTAGATATTTTTTGTTAGTTACTAGAAAATAACAATATCTGAAAATTCACTCGCTTGTAAGTGAAGTTAACCCCTTTCCTTGCATTTCTTTAGTCTAGTTCTTGAATAACTTTTTATCTAAGGAAATCCTTAGATAAAAATTCCTAGAATTTCAATTATTTTTTTAAAAATTTTCAATAACTGTGGAAAATGAAAGGAATTCAATATTAATGAAGATGATTCTGAAAATATTTTTAAACCATTTTAAAGGGATAATTCACTTGTTTTTGCAGTAAAACCTGCAGAGTGGAAAAAATATGCTAGTTCCTGATTCGATAGTGTCTCTAACAACTTTTCCATGAACTAATTAAACATGTCTGTTATATCGAAAGCAAAACCATTGTTTTAAAAGTACTGAACTATTTCAAAAAAAATTAAATTATTACATATATTAAAATTTACGTAAATTTTCCATTTTAACTTTCATATGGTTGAAAACGTAAAACCACCATGAAAGTTAAATGAAAAACGAAACCATATGAAAGTTAAACTATTTGAATAATTTTAATAACGAAGGTTTCTGAACTCATGAACAAGTGGATTTAAGAACCATGAACCATTGTAAGAAAAGTAATCTTGCACATTAAAAATAATTTTTATTTCAATAAAAAATATTATGTTACTCGATTAACTGTAAACGCTTAAAAAGTAGTTCAGTTTAATTTACTGGTAATTATTTATATGCAAAAACTTTCAATGAAGCAAATTTAAACAGCATTTAGAAACTGAATTTCACTGGAACACTTCTTTTGTGGGTTTTATGCTGTTATTACATGTTGAATGTTATTTCGCCTAGATTAAGAAAAAGAAACGTATAAAGTGTAAAAATTTATTATTTAGAAAAACTATCAAATTAAGGTCATTTTCTTCACTTCGAAATGCATTGTTTTCCCTATACAAATTTCATACTCTGACAACAGAGAAATAGTGGCCCATAACTTGTAGGAGATATTTCTTATAAACCGTGTTGGCGATCAAGTAGAAAAAATGCTTAATTAAGGAGCTACATTTTGAATAATTTTTCCCTTATTGAATGAGCTCAAAAATTCCTAATATCTTGTTTTCTAGCATGAAATGTTTCACCTGTTTTTAAGGTTCTTTCCTAAGAATAATTCATTAAGCAGAAATTAGTACTAACACGTAAGGTATACTTCAAATTTGATTTCTTAGGTTTATTAGGTCTGGTTACCAAATGAACGTTTTTGAATTCAACATCAAATTTTAAACATAAATTTAGCACTAAATTAAATAGAGCACTGTAATTTTTCTTTCACAATCAACTGTTGTATAAGATTAGCTGCTTTCTGTGTATTTTTCATGTTATATAACATACATCTTGAACAAATATACAGCAAATGGAAGACAAATTATTAAAATTTTACAATTTGAAACATTAATAATTTTCTATTACTATACATAATACTATTAATGAATGATGAATTGATATAACATATATACTTAGAATTTAAAAACGATGAACTATGAATCTAATGACTTTATAAATATGTATATATTTATGTAGTTACAAAATTTTATTAGATGTTAATATATGCATAGTTCTTTGTAATCTTCACAATCTCTAATAAAATGCTTCATATTTATTACTATATTTTGAGGTGATTGTGCTTAAATTTGTAGATAAGAGTTGTACTTCTAAGAGTTGTTCCATCCCCCCAAAAAAATAAATAAAATTAAAATTAAAAACACTATTCTAAATTGCTGTAATTGAAAGATTTAAGAGGTTACATTTGGAATTCATTTTCTGACAGGGTGTCAGCTGACAGTTTTAATTTTATCTAAAAAAGAAATCTAAAAGAAAATATCTCTAGAAAATAGCCAAATTATGATTGTTACATTCAAAAAAGCTTTCAATGAGAAATATATTTAAACTTTGATAATAAGCTTATAATTAAAATTATAAATACATGGTATAGAAATAAAAAAAACCATAAGTCCCTTTTGATTATGTGCGCTTTTATCACCGTGGGCTTATATCTATGTGGGGCTTTTATCAGTGTGGGCTTTTATCAATGTGCGCTTTCATCGTTGTGGGTATTTGACGCGTGGGCAATTATCATAGTGGGCTTTTGTGACGTGCACTTTCGTCCAGTGGGCTTTTGTCTGGGAACCGATTTTTCTATAGCAGAAGAAAGAAAGGTGAAATTTTTGCAAAAAATATATTATTGCATTGCAACACCATTAAAGAAACAATGCTTCGAATTCCTTCTAAAAGCAATCACTACGAAATTTCCACACCAACAAAACCCCCTTTATAACTAAATTTACTAACTGTCTTTTGGAATAAATATATATTTGAAATGTAGAATATGTATGTAATAGTAGGCATTTATCTAATATATAATTTCTATAATGAAAGTAATTGTTCCTTTTCTTCCATAAAATTTTCCAAACTGCACTAAGGTGATTGAGATAATATATAAGTATCAATTTTTTTATGCTTATGCTCACAGAACATATATTTGCTTTTATACTGCTGTACATAATTAAATGGTACTCTTTTGTTATTGGGACCAGTTTCAGAAATGTATATATGCATGCATGTGTGTATGCATATATACAAGTGTGTGTGTACACACACACATACATATGTGCATACCTATAAATTTCTGAATCTGGTCCTGACAACACAAGAGTACATATTTAATAATTTAAAAATTAACATGAATGCATCTTAATCATATTGACAATAAAGAACTAGGTTTGTTAAAACACGAGGCAATGAAATTTGCTGATACTTTCTTGCAGAAAATATTTCAACAGGATAATTGCTAATAGAATCAATTTTTGTGAAAAACAGATGATAAATATTTTTAATAATAATTAAAAAATTGGTAAAAAATGCTTTGCTTAAAAATATGCACAACAGAAGAGGGACAGTATTTAGAATAATCTTTAGATGAAGGTATGTCAATTTTTAAGGAATTAAGTTGATAACCATTGCATGAGAAAGAAATTAAAAACATACATATGTGTATGTAATAATAAAATTCCATAGTCAAGAATACAATTAAAATTCTAACTGTATGTTCTTTTCATTTTTAATTGCGACGTTCTCTTTATTTGAAAGTACGTGGAATTAAATCCACAGCCCCGTATAAAGTTTTTTTTTCCGCCTTTTCTACACGTACAGTTTTTAGAATGTTCTGGAGATTTTCAAGCGAACTGGATTGGCTGACATCAGTTCTTGGAAGCTCCGCCTTTCCAAGGCTATAAAAGACTCGCAAAAGGAATATCGGGGCTTTTTCTTTAATGTCACGATGCAGTAAATTCATACAAAAAGGATTAGTATTCTTTTTATTTACTCCGGCTATTAATTTTGTAACTGCTATTTTTCTCCCTGAAATATAATAAATGGATCCTGTTTTTTAAACTATCGTCTGATTTTTAAGCTACGACTACATTGATGATTCTTCAACAATCTATTTATTCCTAACAAAAGCTGGTATATCACATGTATATATGGAATATAGACACTTAAAACTTATATAACTTGAGTATACCATAAGGAGTTATAACATTTCCCTGTGCATATTCTTGTGGTATTAGTGGTTAGTATACTCAGTTAGCAGTTAGAAGACTCACATATTAGCAAGGGCACACCCTAATTCACCTATTAGCAAGGGCACAGCTGTTTCCTCATATTTCTTTGCACAAAAAACTAGATACATCTCTACAGTGGTACTCGGACTAAAATGAAGAAAACTAAAAATTATCACCAATTAGATTTCCTGCTCTAAAATTTCAAACAACTCTAAACTAATGCATTTGATCATTCATTGCTGTATATGTTTAAATCTATTTAACAGATTTATTTTTAATGTTGTATGATATCAAGGGAACTAGGTTATAAAATATCTAAGAAGCTTCAGTCTGATGGAATTATGATATGCAATTAAAAGAGCAAACGGAATGCTTCTGTGATAATATTTGAAAAAAAAAAAAAAAAATTCTAAAACCTTACTAAATTTCATTCAAAGACTAATATTTGTTTGCTCAGAGTGCAATTGTTTCTCCAATCATTAATGTATTTAATTCTTCGTAACTTATTTTCCTTTTCATGTTTCAAATAAAGTTAGAAGATTTCAATTCATTTTGGTTAAGGTTAAGCACGGATCAAATTTGGCAGTTTTGATGTTAGATAATGATTTTTAATCAGATAATCCTCTTTTCTTTTGTTCCTTGATAATGGTTTCATTTCAGAAACCTCATATTTCTTAATAACCAGAAAGAATAGGATTGTGGGACATTTCACTATTGGTCATGTGTCGTCTGTGGATGTTATTTGTTAATTTTAAAACTTCACATTTTTAAACAGCAAAAGTAGAATCCCTGTTTTTGCCATGATGCATTGATCTGCATGATGGCAGAAAAGTAGGATTTGTGCCCAATGCCAAGTTTCTGCAAATTATTGAATTTTTTTAAAGTGAAATCCAAACCGGCTCTTGGCGATTTGTTGACATATCAGAAGAGAGTGCATATGCGCCAGATTATGGTAACCTTGACAAGCGTTACAACCCTGCAACCCACTCAGGGAATTTTCCTGAAGGATAAAAAGAGATATTTTCTGTTTACATATATTTAAGGAACGTTACGGTAAAACAAAATAAAAGTTGGAAAATCGCAAATCGTTATCGGATGTTAATTTCAGTTAAAAAAATTCCTCATAATTACTAGAACAGCGATGAGTATCGTCAGAATGTCAATATAAATTGGGGTACATTAAATTTTGTCTTGTTCTTTGCACGTTTGGTAGTTCAGAATTGTTTTCCTTCTCCAAATTCCCTCGGACAGGAATAACAACTTTGGCTGCCATCTTGGATTTTAAAATGCGCTTACCCCAATTTGTGTTGACATTCTGATGATACTCATTGCTGTTCTGCTAATTATGAGGAATTTTTTTAACTGAAATTAACACCCAATAACGATTTGCAAAAATATGAACTAATTATGATTTGCGATTTTCCAACTTTTATTTTGTTTTACTGTAACGTTCCCTAAATCTATGTAAACAGAAAATATCCCTTTTCGTCCTTCAAGAAAATTCCCTGAGTGGTTTGCAGGGTTGTAACGCTTGTCAAGGTTACTGTAATCTGGAGCATATGCACTCTTTTCTGATATGTCAACAAATCGCCAAGAGCCGGTTATCTGAAAACTGCCTTTAAGGCATGCCTCTAATTGTGGTTGTATATGGGAAGAAAAAAGAGTAATATATAATGTTTAATGTGTACAATGTCAAAATTTATGCAATTCTTTGATTTATTTTAAATGAAAACAGATCTCCGAGTAGATGGAGAGAACTCTGCACTTTCCCTGAGAGAATAGTAATGCACCATACAATGTAGTACACATAGTATTTAATATATAATATAATCCTTATTTAACAATTCAGTTTTGTATTTTTAATTATTTTCTTTTGACATATTAATAATGTTTGCTGATTTATAATACACATCCACAGCTTAATTATCTTTTAAAAAGGTTTCCCTTATAAATAACTTTTACATTCATCAAGGAAGATGAAAAAAGTATGTGGTAATATAGTTGCTGACATTACATTCCTTTTTTTTTTTTTAGCATATAAATTTTTATAGACTTACTTTCAGTTACTGCTACAGCATGCATGCCACCAACTGCAACATTTTTTATTTTTACATCAGGACTACCAAAATCGATCAATTCTGGTTGGAAATCTGTATGTGAGTAAACATAGCAATACCCATCATTTGTCACAAAGAATGAAATTTGTAAACCACATATAATCTTCACTATCAAACCATTTTTTATCTCGCAAAATACTTCATGCACATCATTGCTTTCGGATTTATTAAAACCGCAATAATATATCTTTTCTCCTGAAAAAGAAGGAAAATTTTAAAATGAATCAAACAAAACTATCACACTAATTCTAAAGATAATTTAATTAAAGTTAATCAAATGTAAACATTTGAAAGAAGATATAACCAAAATGGCTTTATTACCAAACTTTAACCAAAATATTGGGTCATCTGAAAAGTTGTTTTTTTATGAAAAATACAAATGAAGCAGTACAAAAATGTAAAAAATTTTATGGAATTACATAAATATAATTTTGTTATATGACTTTTTTCTATCTCTCCAGCAGGCGGAATATTCCTTTTTTAAAAAAGTCATTAAATTTATTCATAAAAAAAATTTCTGACATGCTGTTCAACAGGCCCCAAAGAATTTTAAAGTGATGTGATGAGGCTTAAAATCCAAGGGAGGAGGTCTAGTGAATATGGGCAGGATGACACAAAACATACCAGCCATATTCAGTATGTCTTTGTCTGCTATTCATTGAAATGGGGAATTAAGCATTGTCATGATGAAGATAACACCTCAAGAACTAGGAAGTTCTATATACTGTGCTTCAATTTCAACTTTTAAAACTGACATTTGGGAGCAGTAGTTTTTCAAAATTATACTCTGGTTTAATGACAATTGATGGTATACCATTCCGGTTGATCTTTACATTATGGTAACTTGGCGATTTTTTGGCGAAAATTTGGCAACCAACTCTCCTACAGCAACCCTCTATTTTTTTTTCCCCGCCGCCATTTTGTCTTCACGAAGTAAAGACATGTTTCTTTCTTTTCTTTTTATTTACTGAACACTTTTTCCAACAATCTACTATCTACTAGCCGAATTACACTTATGCTAGAAATTTTATGTAACAAAACTGCTTAATCATGACAAATATTAACTGCAAAATTGGGAAAAAGTGCACAATCGCAAACTCCTTGCGCGTTTTTCAGAATAGCACATACACATAAACCATGTTACACGTCCGACTTATTTTTACTTAAAAAAACATCCCAGAATTGCACAAAAATGGCATTGCGCACACTCTTCACTATATCCATGTACACTGGCTTTTTTCTCATAAATTAGAAAAATTTCACGAAAATGCATGACAAATTTCCGAATCTTTAAACCCGGTAAAAAGAACATATATGAAATTACCTGATCGCGAAAAAGTATATACCCTTTCCAAATATGAACATTTCCACGTATAAAATAAATAAAATATCCAAAAACTTTTACCTCTAAATTATCTATTATATTATAAACGTCACCAACGAATTCATACCGCAAACATTACAAATACTTAGTGTCAAATATTTAAATTATTTCCATGCACGTTTACTTCAACTGAAACGTATACCAAATTCCTACAAACATAAAATTCACAAAATAACTATCATTTAATTAAAATATCACTAAACCATGTACACGTCGACTTATTTTTACTTAAAAAAACATCCCAGAATTGCACAAAAATGGCATTGCGCACACTCTTCACTATATCCATGTACACTGCTTTTTTCTCATAAATTAGAAAAATTTCACGAAAATGCATGACAATTTTCTGAATCTTTAAATCCGGTAAAAAGAACATATATGAAATTACCTGATCGCGAAAAAGTATATACCCTTTCCAAATATGAACATTTCCACGTATAAAATAAATAAAATATCCAAAAACTTTTACCTCTAAATTATCTATTATATTATAAACGTCACCAACGAATTCATACCGCAAACATTACAAATACTTAGTATCAAATATTTAAATTATTTCCATGCACGTTTACTTCAACTTAAACGTATACCAAATTCCTACAAACATAAAATTCACAAAATAACTATCATTTAATTAAAATATAATTAAATTCAAAAACACTACTTAAAATATAAATGAGCACATACATTAAATTAATAAAAATTACCTTACAATCCTAATTACTTTAAACTAAATCATTGCTAATAACAATTTTCCCAATAATACCATAATTCCTTTACACCTTACATTTAGAACAATGCATAAAAATAATATCCTCAAATAATTAAAAATACTAACTTACCTAATCTTCTTCAGAATCTTGATTACGTGGCGGATACACTTTTCTAATTCATTCAATAAAATTATTGAAAGATTTTTTGTGAGAATTTTTCCTCCATACTTCCTTCCTCCCTAAATAAAAAGCAAACTTCTCTCTATCACAATGCCTAAATAAACCCATTTCGAATTCACTTTATTTAGGGCCATGGGATCCAAAAATTAAACAACACTGTTTCACAAAACACAGAATAAAGCTAAATACAAAATATCCACATTTTTTCCCGATTAAAGAACCGTAATTCGTCCATTAATATCACATGACATATCCCATGATCTCTCATTTCCCTCACGCAAAATAATGCGTAATCGGAACTGAGTACTGCTCACATTATTACCAAAGTCCCAGGTAGTAACCTTTATCGCCTCCAAAATGTCGCCAAACTACCAGTTACCATATTGTAAAGATCAACCTATGAAGGTAGTTTGAGAAGTTAAAGCCTGGAAATTTCATCGTTGAAGATTCGATACAACGTGCTACAGTATATGGGTGTTCCATATTTTAACAGCGCAGAATGTGCTTGCTCGAATTTTGGCATATATTTCTGTGTTAAATGAAACTAGAGAAGTTCTTGGCTAATCTTTAGAATATGGTAACAGGTAGTTTGGTGACATTTTGGTAAGGCAATAAAGGTTACTAGCTAGGACTTTAGCAGTGTACATGGATAAAGTCAAGAGTGTGCGCAATGCCATTTTTGTGCAATGATTAAGCAATTTTGTTCGCCTTTATCACCTTACCAAAATGTTGCCAAACTACCTGTTACCATATTCCAAAGATTAGCCCCTTCATACTATGTCATCAGAAACAGCACATTTTCCATATATACACAAAATTTTCCTTTTTTTTTAAATAAAAGAGCATAATATGACGAAAATGGACTTCAGGGTTTATGCAACATTTTTAGCACTTCATTGAAACCAAAATTATGAATTACACAACATGAGCAGAAAAACCCATATTTAAACATGTACTTCCATCAGTGTCACTCATCACTAGTAATAAAATAATTACAAGAAAATGCACTTCGATTTGAAAAACGTAGAACTTTCATTATGACCCAATATTAAAACCAACATATTTATTGAATTTTCCGAAAACTTAACTAAATGTATTTATAAACAGAAGAACAGCAAGAAAATAGTTGCGGCATACCAACTTTTATTAGCACATGAGACCAACTTAAAAATACTTCGTCGATAACATGTAGATATGAAGTTTCTTTTAAAAGGTTAAACACTGTGCAATTAAGATTTTGAAACAGCGATTCTTGACATTCATCGCTAATCAGAATTTTTAACTTGTTAAATAAATTATCACCAAAATAAATAAACAGTATTTTTGTAGGCATTTCAAAACATATGAAGGCTGCCTAAAAACAAAAGCGGCGTGATGCTCTGTTACAAAAATTCAAAAAGTAAACTATGGGATATTATATGCAGGAAGAAGCCTTTAAATATTCAGGAAGGAAGGATCCTTAGATCGCGGAAATTGATTATATTTATATATTATAATTCAATCTTTTTCTAAAACATTTTTTAGAACTTACAGGAAACTCTCGTTTTGTTTAGTAAGACACTTATTTTGTTTAATAAGAAACGTTTCAATAAAAATGAGAATTTCCAAAGGTATTAAAGTTTAGTGTACCCTATTAGAATAGATTAATTGTTTAGTACTTGTAAGAAACGGAAAGGATTTCCTACTTAAGATGAAGAAATTTAGTTCTTTGCATTAAGATTAATCGTACTGCCGTTGATGAAAAAACAATTGTGGTATCCTGCAGAAAGACTTATTGGGTGCAAAACAAAACATCAGTCTACTTTGTCTGGTTGCTGTGGTAATTTAAACGCTTATTCGATTTTATACCCAAAAATTATATATAATTCCCAATGGAGACTCTGCTTGAGCAGCAGAGGCGTTATCATGAAGAACGTGAACGACTCATTGATACTATGGTTAAAGAAATGTTGTATAAAAAGAGCTCTGTGAGTATTCTGATGTATTATTCTACTTCATACATTGGGTGATGTATAGAATTGTTGCATTTTAGCAAAATACAAGCTAATTTTTCAGTTTTTTAAACTTCATACACTAAACTATGTGTTATAAATATTTAACTTAACCTTCATGCACTGTCTGTAGACTCGGGATCAAATAAATTCTGATCATCGGTTGAGAATTCGGTAGACTTGGAAGAGAATCGGGAACAGCTTTAGTATTGGTCCTTTTGGCGATTTTTTGAGTCGGCGACAAACTTCGATCGCCAAGGTAGACCCGGCTTTGAAAATCGGAAAAAAATGGCGGATTTTCAACAAAACCCGATCTAGACTAAATAACAATCTGTAAAAATAAGCTCTTGATTAGAATAAACAGTCTTTCTCTAATTTTCAACATTTCTAGTACTGCTATAATAAATTCCTGAAACACTACCATAAATGAATTTATGGTAAATTTATTTAATGAAATGAATGTATTATTATTTAATGAAATTTACAAAAGGTTAATATTTTAAAATACAAAATATAATATTAATGTATTAACTATTAATTTTTAAGTAATTAGTTAATATTTATATTATATTAGTATTTTAGCTAAAATTTTAAATCTACAAAAGGTTAACCTTCCAGCGGGCGCGCCTTCTGCACCAACAAGAAAGGTCGTGCGTATTTCTTAGATACGCTATTATAAAAAATAAATTTTCCAGAGCAAAAATATTAAAATTAAGCTTTGTAAATAGTTAAATGTTAATAAGTGCAATTCAGTTCAACAATCTTAACTTTAAATTAAGGAAAAATAAAGTAAGTTTAAACCAAAAAAAACAATATAAAATGGGCTAAAGACTTATCCAAGCTAACTTGAAAGTAAAACAAAATTAAACTGCCAATATTTCGACTTGAACTTTTATATTTTTAATCAGTAAGTGAAAAACAACATTAAATATTACATAACAAATCAATTTCATAGTCACTTCATTGCATCGGTGCAGTCTGAACAAATATATTTACAGTGCTCTAGACAAATGAATTTTCAACAAATTTCACAGCTGAACCTCGTAATTCCAGTATGCTTGTCATTTTAGCAGGGTTTGCATCTTTTTTTCCCTGAAGTCATTTTTTTTCAACAACAGCTAATTCTGCTTTTCGTTTCAACAATTTAAATTTCAGCTCACTTTGAAGAGAGTTAGGGATTCTTCTTTCTTTCAACGTTTTCCTTCACAAGAGCATTTGCTAGCTTTCGCAGATATTATCTTCTAAGTAATTTTTCACTATTATTCGTTGAATGAATTATGTTAGCTGTTGATTGCTGCTATATTCAGCATAGAGAAGAAAACTACAAGAGTCCACACCCCTCTTTTGGTACGATGTAAAATGTGATAATCTCAGGCTTTTTTTGGTCCTGGGTATCTTCATCTATTGCTACGTCATCATGAAGATTTGAAATCAATATGACGTTTCTATAACGTTTTGGTACATAGTAGAGAAGTGTCATGTTTTTTCTAAATCCAAAAAGACTCATATTGGGTTCCCGAGCTTTCATCAGCTTGAATTGATCCGGAATTTGAGGTTTATTTATTTTTTTTTTCAAAGTACCTACAAATGACAATTTTTTTTCATCTAGATCTCATACTAACTTAAAACTTGAAAACCAGTTGTCTGTGATTACATTTCTTCCAGTGTTATGAATAGATTCTGTCAACCATTTTACAACATCTTGTGGTTTGTTGCTTATGTAAAAAGGACAATCCAGCTGCGATCGAGCATAAATTTCCATACTGTATGTGTAAAACGTACGAGCGTCTACCATGGCAAAAATATTTATGCCATATTTGTTCAGTTTTTTGGGAATGTATTGAATGAAACCAAATCTTCCTCGAAATCCTTCTAATTTCTCATCGGTTGTGACATTCTCTCTTAGTGAATAGCACTTTTGGCAATTAGAGACAAACTTTTCAAAAACGTTTCTTATTGAAGCCAAGCGGTCAACTCCTCTTCGTTGTCTGCTCTTGTGTTTATGTCATCAAGCCGTAAAGCTCTTAGTAAAAACAAAAATCTCTTCAAGTTCATTTACTACTTTAAAATCCTCCATTCTCCACAGTTCCTCAAGATTCCAACTCTGTTACCATGATAAATACCAGCTAAGTAAAGTAAGCCCCAAAGGAGAGCTTTTATTTCTGCTCCATCTATCGTTGTCTCTCTGCTGTCCCTTATACGAAGAATAATTAGACCTCGTAGAAGAAATAAACTTATTTGTATCTTCAGCGATGATTTCTATCAATACTATCAGTAAAGAGGCATTTCCATACATCCAAAATATCTGTTAGATATTTAGCTTCACCGATGACTCCAGAAAACATGAACACATATGTTACGAGGCGCTCGTTTAGTTTTCTTAAATGGTTCGTTTATGCCATGTCCAAGAATCGATGACTTTTCTGTTTTTCTGAGCTATGTACACTTTCGGGAAGAATTATCATCATTATTTCCCTCTCAGAATTGCTCTCTGCACTTCTCTCCGATTCTGAATCACCTTCTCTTTCTGAAATTCGCTCTTCTTCATCTGTAATACTTTCATCTAAAATAATATCCTCATCGTCATCACTGTCACATAAAAGCATATTTCTTATAATCTCAAGATCCTTCGGATCATTCATGTCGAGTATTTTACTTTTATTCGCCATAACTGAAAAGAAAAGGTGTGGTGTGTGTGTATTTAATTATGGCAAAGCACACTAGGGCTATCTGCCTAAGGGGAGGGATGCCTTCGTGGAGGACTTTCTAAGGGAAACTGACTCCTATACATGTTACACATGGGGAAAACCACGAAAACGCCCATACAGCCAGCCCACTCGCGGGATTCGAACCTCGGACCGAACTACCAGTGTTCAGCGACTTTACCGCTCGGCCGCTGGTGGGCCCCTGAAAAGAAAAGAACAAAAATATCATACATGGTCGCGCGTATGTGACGCATACAGTGCTTCTATTTTATCATTAAAGTAATTATGCACACAAATTATACAAAATTATAAGATTTAGATGCAGAAGAATAAGGTTGATCTTACAATGGGTAACTGTAGTTGGCGATTTTGGGGCGATAAGGTTACTACCTGGGACTTTGGTAATAACGTGAGCAGTACTCAGTTCCGATTACGCATTATTTTGTGTGAGGGAAATGAGAGATCATGTGATATTAATGGACGAATTACGGTTCTTTAATCGGAAAAGGGGGGGGAAATCGGGAAAAAATCTGGAAATTTTGTATTTGCCTTTATTCTGTGTTGTGTGAAACAGTGTTTGTTAATTTTTGGATCCCATGGCCCTAACTAAAGTGAATTCGAAATGGGTATTTAGTGGGATTGAAAGGCGTAGTAATAAGTGTTTTCTTTATGGTTTGTGCGAGATAGAAGTAAGATGTTTATTAAGTTATTTATTTTACCTTACCTGGTGAAATAAGTATGATTTTAAAGATCGTGAAACAGAAATAAGAAAGTTTATCGGCACGTAATCAGATTCTGAAGAAGATAGGTAAGTTAGTATTTTTAATCATTTGAGGATATTATTTTTATGCATTGTTCTAAATGTAAGGGAAGTAAATAATATGGTAAAATGGAAAATTTAAATATTTGACATAAGTATTTGTAACCATTTTAAAGTAAAGGTATAATTATTATGACGTTTTATATAATAGATAATGAGAGGTAAAAGTTTTTGGATATTTTATTTATTTATACGTGGAAATGTTCATCTTTGGAAAGAGTATATATTTTTTCGCGATCAGGTTATTTCATATATGTTCTTTTTACCGGATTTAAAGATTCACAAAATTTCATGCATTTTCGTGAAATTTTTCTAATTTATGAGAAAAAAGCAGTGTACATGGATATAGTGAAGAGTGTGCGCAATGCCATTTTTGTGCAATTCTGGGATGTTTTTTTAAGTAAAAATAAGTCGACGTGTACATGGTTTAGTGATATTTTAATTAAATGATAGTTATTTTGTGAATTTTATGTTTGTAGGAATTTGGTATACGTTTCAGTTGAAGTAAACCTGCATGGAAATAATTTAAATATTTGACACTAAGTATTTTTAATGTTTGCGGTATGAATTCGTTGGTGACGTTTATAATATAATAGATAATTTAGAGGTAAAAGTTTTTGGATATTTTATTTATTTTATACGTGGAAATGTTCATCCTTGGAAAGGGTATATACTTTTTCGCGATCAGGTAATTTCATATATGTGCTTTTTACCGAGTTTAAAGATTCAGAAAATTTTCCTGCATTTTCGTGCAAATTTTTGTAATTTATGAGAAAATAGCAGTGTAGATGGATAAAGTTAAGAGTGTGTGCAATGCCATTTTTGTGCAATTCTGGGATGTTTTTTTAAGTAAAAATAAGTCGACGTGTAAATGGTTTATGTGTATGTGCT